CACTCCATCGGTCACTCGTGTTATTTGGGTACTTGTTTTGACCCATACGTCGTCATACTTTAGTAAACTAGTATAGCCGGTCTACTTGAGTGGTTAATAGTCTGCTGCTGAATGCACGCGTTGTGTGCACCTAGCCGTCCCAATAAGAAAAAGTTCAGTCAAATATCGACACTTAAATACTTTGAATGCAATCTCAAAATCTTGTTGTGGTACAAATCAAGTCAAGAGATTGCTTTGTGAAACCTTGGCTGGTAAATATTCAGGATGGACGCCCACAAACCACCGTTGGTGATCCAAGCGACATGATTATGACGTCGACGATAAACATAATTAGAAATGGTTTTTCATTTAAGTGACTTGTCATGAAAAGCTTAGAGAATTGTATGACACCAAAAATAAACAAAAATTACGGCGAATGGCGAATCAACAGCTGGATGGAGCGAGGCAAGCGGAGTTGCTAATTTGTAATAGTAAAATGCAGGTACTGAACTAGGGTTATTAACCGCGGCAAACATTACATCTGCCGCTTGGAATGATTCGGATTAGGATGCAGAGAAACTTGCTCCATACTTTATGAGATAAAAAACCAGATAAACAGGGACACAACGCGGCAACCTAAGCAGCCCAGAAAATTGAAAAGTGTTCAGAAATTACGTGCGGTTCATAAAGTGAGTACTTGTAGATCACGATGATAGACAGCTTCCATTGTAACTGGATACTAATAGAGTGATTGCTTTGCTGCTTTTACAATCCAGCGAATCAGCTGCAAGCAGCTGACGAAATTTCAAGTGAAAAAGCGACTTATTTTGTATTTTAGTCCACCATGAATCATTTAATTCTAGGTTTAGTTACGACTATTCATCACTAAAGCTGTAACTACCTGTGTAACTTAGAAATTGAGAAATGGGGTTGAAATTCATTTGCCGCTCAAAGTAGGCTGATGGAGCGAATAAGCCTGAAGAAGATCTTGCGTCAGGAGCAAAACGATGCAACAATAAAAAGTCTACGAAACCGATTTATATTCAAAACCTTTTGTAATAATGAACTCCCAGTCAGTTCTAATCATATTCCGAGATATGACATATTATTGTCTATCCTAGTAGCTGTGCTTCTGCTGGTGACGCTGTCGGGAAGAAGGTCCCTATTCCCATCTCTAAAGACCTGTCAGCGTTTTACAATTTGAGTAACTTGTGACGTTGTCGCGACCGCTCCATCTCCATATGGGACCAGGTTTACAACACTTCTGTTCGCTCTGTGTTATATCCCAGTGAGTCCTGGCCAATTTGAGCGGATGGTATGCACTGGCTGTCCACCTTCGAGGAGGCTCTGTCGCGCGTGTTGGTAACATCGAGTTCACTGTTACGAAATTAGACATCGCGTCATGGGAAATGTGAATGTTTCCTTCAACAAACTGATTTTTCTGCGCCACTTGAGATGGCTTAGCCACCTTCGATGCATCGCAACCAGGCGTTTACCTCGCTACGCCCTATTTGGTCGTGCAAGATTGGCTGGAAGCGTCCGGTGGTAGCCAGCCTTCCACTGGACGACAGCACATGAAATCGCCGACGTCACGTCTAGTCACCGTCGAGCCATGTGGCATTTGAATCACCATCACCAGCCGAATACCGGTACACCTATATCTGACTGTCTATACTTGTGCGCCCCATGCTGAGGCTGATGTTGCATTCTTGATGCTTCTTCACCGCAGTTGGGCTAAACCAACTTACACTTAAATTGGTCTTTTTAAGCTGGATAAATTTCATTCCACTTTATTTGCTTTGTTCTGCCTACCTGAACAATCTTCTATTAACTGGCCACGTTGCTTACGCTAATTGCGCTTATCTTCGGTAACTTTGTTGCGTTTGTAGCACTTTTAAGTAACTTGTAGACACTTTTTACTTATCGCGAATTCGTTGCTAACCAACTTACTTCATATGCTAATTTAGCGAAGAGTTATGCCACCGTATCTGTATGCATTATTGGATTTATTTTATTTCATCTTGTAGTTTCAAGTGAATGGCTGTTGCTTGATATCCCCGGTGTGGCTGCGCTTGATGTGCATGTTGACAAGGTGCCTACCTGTCTATTACCCACTACCTCGTTCATACTGGCTCCAGGAGACAGTTGGTCGTTGCTGGAGGGGACGGGGTGCACGGTCCTTGTGGTCGTGCTAGGCTCGAAGAGCGGTCCCATGCACTCAGTGTGGAGCGGACTACGGTCCAGCCACTGCCTTGTGTGCGCTTGATTCCCAAATACAGCGTGATTGTGTTTGCCTGTGAAGGAGTGTGGGCCGGCTCCGTTGATGAGACGTGGCTCCCATCCACATGCCTCCCGGTCTTATTCCTTCGGGTTTACACTGCATATGGGGTGTGTGGATGGAGCTGTGGGTGGTGCAGCGTAAGCCATCCATGGTCCCTCTGTAGATGCAGGCGTCCTGTGGCTGGCCACAGTGACAGGCAAATCCGAAACCGGATGACGCCAACCATACTTGTGCGCGTGATTGCTTGTGTGAGGCTCACCTACTCAATGGTGTACTATTCTCAGCCGCATCGTTGATGCACTAAGCATATTCATTTCATTACACGCGGTGTTTATCATCCGCTTGGCGTGTTGCGTCGGTTCGGCTACCAGCCCGCTACTGCGCCCGCAACCCTAGCGTTGGATTTTTAACACACGGACTGATTGGAGGCCCAAGGATGAAGAATGTCAATGGCTCGAAGCGCTTGGAGATATCGCTCGTAATCGACGTCAGTAGACCTAAACGTAGAACTGTTTTGATTCATGCGCTCAGTACCAAAAGTATGTAACATCTCAAAAAAGACTACATTGGAGTGTGAAAAACAAGCATCAGGTATTTTGATTTCAGTCTATAATAAATGTACCACCTTTGATTTCCATGACTTTTGATGCCTCCAATTACATTAATTAGAATGATTGTCGGCATACGGTTCCGGATTTGCTTGTCATCGCGATCTCTATAGGATAGCCACAGTACGCATGCAAATCTTGCGGGAAATGGGTAGCTTGAGCTACACCACTCGTAGATCCAACCAAACACCCCATGTCCGGAGTAAGCCGGAGGAATAAGACCCGGAGGCATGTGGATGGGAGCTAAATTTCATCAACGGGCGTGGCACAAATTCCTTCAACAGGCACAGTAGCAGCATTGCTGTCTATATAAACTGGGAATCATGCGTACCAGAAGTACATAAGGCTAAGACTTAGCCATAGCCCACTCCACACTGGATAGAACCAAACTTCGAGCCCAGCAATGTCATGAGGACCATGCATCCCATACCTACAGTACAAATTAGCTGTCTCCTGAAGGCTATATATATATATATATATATATATATATATAAATGCCATCAGACCAAGAACTGTAAATGATCCCATCAAAAAAACATGCAAATCAAAAGAAAGCACAACATGATCAAAAATAGAACGAACTCAACCTTTTTTGTTTGTGCTTTTACAAGCTGATTTGTTTCTTTTTCAGTCACTTTCAATATTTGTGGTATAAAACATTTAATTCATTACCATTTGGTACACATCCTGCCTCTGATTCAGTTTACGGACCATTTCTTCAATCGTGTTAACTCACTGGCACGCCTCATCCTTGGGTCCCCATTCATGAAGACGTACGGGTCCAACGGCGGCTAGACGTGACATCAACGATTTCACGTGCTGTCGCAAGGTGGAACATTGACCACCACCCGACCACCTACAGCCCTATCCTGAACAGGCGAATAGAGCGCGGCTCGGTAAAAGTGCTGGCGCCTTTCTTAGGACATGATCGATCCATCTCAGTTGGCACAGCAAAACCAGCTCGTTGAAGGAAATGTTCGCATTCATTATGGGGCGACGTCTAAACTCATCACTGTGAACTCGGTGTTGTTACCACATTACCAGCGATCCCCCTCAAATAACCGTTGTCAAACGCAGAGTGACATTGCTTGTCTTCACCGCGAATCCACCAGGACTCGCTCTCGTACACCAACACTTAACGAACAGAGGCAGGATAAATGCGGTTCTTTATCGAGACTGATGCGTCCCGACGACGCCACAAGTGCCTCGCATTGACAAGTCGATGGCTCGCTTACGAAGCCGAAGTTCTAGGCCAAAATTTTGAAAATCTTCTAAAGCTCCCGACGGGACTTCAGTGAAAAGTTGAAGATGAATGAGGAAATGAGGCAGCCCTGTCGCATACCGCTATTGACAAACAATAGTGAGGAAAGCCTGCCTTAGCCCCTCACTCTGCCGAAGATATGAAGGTAACGTGCGCGCAGGATGGAGGTGTATTTATCTGGAACTCCATTCTTTAGCAGGCAACGCTATAAAGCAAGTCGAACAACCGAGTCAAATGCAGCCTGTATGTCTAGGAATGCGTCGAAATTGGGCCTGTGGTAAATGTGGCGGTGTTCGAGGAATTGTAGGACCTTGAAGATTTGACTATTAGTTCCGTGTGATATGACAGATTTGGTTAGACTTGGTCAGTTGGAAGGAAGTTACCATCCTGTACGGTGGCACCACCTTGATTGGGCACCATTAGTAAGTAAGACCTGTTGATGATCTTCGTGAAAACGTTGTGCTCAAAATGGTTTGTTCACTGAACGGCTTTCTGTAATATGTTACGTTGGTTTCAGTAGATTTTGTGGCGTTTAAATACATAGGGAAGGAGTATGGACCGGTTTTGAATCAATACTGGCTCTCAGCTGAGCGCCTTTTATCCTATTATCTCGAACTATTGGTATCTGTGTTGTGGGAAAAGCTTATTAGCAGCTTAAAGAGCATGCAGCCAATAAAAAAGCTGAAGAGCACACTGTTGTATTGTCTTGAGACACCAGCAAGCCGATGCAAGTCACAGCAATGATGCTGTGGTTAAATGAAACAAAGACAGTCCTTCTGAACAGCCAGCATCCTTACTCACTGTGGGACATTAAAATTTTATTGCTAATAGCAGTCTGTGTGTCAGAAGGATCTTAACACCAGAATCGCGCATGTATCCTCTTTGTAGGGAAGATGAGTGCGAATTTTACTGGTGCGAACCCCTTACTATGAAGGAGTTGTTTGACCATGGCCTTCCAAGTAGCCTGATTAAACTGTGCCACTTTCGGAATCATCACGAGGTGAGTTATATACTTGTTGTGACGAGTGAGGAATAAGTAATTGCTTGGGTCATTCGCTTTTTTATACCATAATGTTTCCTTGGGACTTTATTGCATTCATGCTTAAGTTACTTTTGTACATCATTACTTTTACCGGATGTTTATGTTGTTTAATTCGGCGGGTATTTCTCGTTTTCTCCCGATCTGCAAATCTGCATGCTTGAGTATGCAGCGGTTGGAACAATTAATGAATAGGAGATAATTGTAGCCGTTTAGACAAATCACATAAGGGCTTGATGACTATGAAGCAGTAGCTTGAACAATGCATGACGTAAGAGCGTTTTGATTAGACATGATAACATTACTTTGCTCGGGATATTTCATCATCCCCTACCATCAATAAACGTTAGCCTAGGATGAGAAACACACCTCGGCTAATGTGCCGCAATACCAAATAGGTAAAACTTTAAGCAATGTAGACTTGAAAGCTATAAGAAGTATCATAATACTACTATCACATGCGTGATGGTTTTTGGAGTGGAAAGCTAAAGGCAAGAGGAGGAACAAAGAGATTCAGTCAGTCAGTTAGTGTAAGCCATTGTAATCGACTCTTCACGATGTCGGCTAGTGTGTCCAACCAAACGTGTTCTTCGGGTCCCAGCTGGGCAGTCGGGAAACACGAACCGACGCCAACTTCGAAGTGAGGGACTGCATTCCTTTTGACCAAGTCATCGCTTAGCCACCCTCCTCTTTTTCCACCCAGACCCCAGGCGCGCAGACAACGTACGTCGCGGGAGTTGGTGTGCTGGCATTCACAACACGTGGCCCAGTCATAGCAGCCTGCGCCTAATACACAGCGCCGAACAAGCTCATTGCTCACGCGGTGCTCCCACCAGACATGAACTAAGCTGCGAAGGCACCGATGATCGAACGTGACCGCCCTGTTAATGTCTGTCGACTTAATGGGCCAGGTTTCACAACCGTACAGGAAAGTTGTACAGACGGCTGCATTGTATTTATTTCTTATTATTTGCAGCAGCCTGCTACTAACAGTGAGTGGGTGTTTTATTTGGTTTGATCTCTTTGTGTTTTCTAACGGCCGACTTCAGTGGTATGTGTTTAGTGACATAACAGCAGATGAATGTTATATTCGGGTCGCGCAGTGAGGTCGCGTCGTTTTCATGCTCATCGTTCTGACAGCACAATCGGTCTAAACTCATTCGAATGGTATTAATTGGCTCTCCGGGCCATTTTCACGGATCCTGATTCCAGTAACCCCATCTGTCTTCACAGCTCCGGTGCTCCAACCCGCACGCACAATCCTATCGTCTTTAGGTTAATTAACAAAATATTTTACTGTGTTTGATAGGACGATCTCGGAACTATTTCTTATTTGCAGGCATTTGCAAGAAAGCAACGGGACAGCTTGTGATACAGTATATTCCCATCGTTTACATATTTTTGTACACGTCCAATTTCGGTTTGCAGCGTTCACCGGCAAGCCACCCACACCTACCGACTTACTGACCAATCTCTCACCACCTAGTACACACGCTGGTGGACACGAGCCATTTGTGGCCGACATCAAACATAAACTCAGTGCTGACCCCCAGTTGCAGTGACACACATTATAGACAAGTGCTCAGCAATGTGCATGCCAGTGGCCCAAAACATGACCCAACCAGGTTTGTAGACACTTCAGAGAAATGCTGTAAATTTCTTACGAGGTGAAAAACGGGATCAAAACTACATTTGTTCACTTAATTCCTAATTTGTGGGAACGTCGGCTCAAGAAGTGAGGTATCACAACAAAGTAGTCAACGTCATTGCCTACTGCTCATCATGCCGATTCATTGCAATTGCAAACTGCTTACATGTGTTCATGAAGAAGTGCCACAGGCTGATTGGGTACTTGGTGAACAACAGAATTGTATCCCCGGATGTGAAGATGGCCATTTTCGTACCTTAACTAGCCACTCCCAGCTTTACCTCTAGACCGAAGCAGAGATCTAGAAGTTCTACCCGTAGTCTAGCGTATGTTCCCAACTACTGTGGCCCACCCATTTCCCATAAGCGGACAAGAGTTGAGCATACCTGCCTCAACTCCATTCAGTGCTGCAGCCCACATTAAGCTAGTGGCAATGATGGCTGCTCCGAGCACGAGTTCGTCGACGATGGAGATAAGCCAGACATCGTCTGAATCACTTGCCTCCGGTTCCGGCACCGAACAAAACTTAGTGCGGAACCTACCACACTACATTAAACAAAAGCTAAATTAATTATAAGCCTGAAGCCAACAGTCACAAGTAGGAACCACGAGACCTTAGCTGTGGTGTGCATGAATACTCCGGATCCACAGTCTAGTAAAGTACAATGAACAATGATTTATGCCGGGTAAGAAAGCAGTTGCTGGACATGTCCCACAAGACGGTGGGGGTAAAACTACAATTTCAAAAGATGGGTGTGTTGTCTGAAGGTTTAGCTAGCAGCTACGCTGCTGAATAATAGTAATGTATGTGGAAATTGAATGCGAACGATGAGGCAAATGGGGACAGTTATATTTGAGGTACTCCGTGAGAAAAATAAAAACGAGAGTACTCACTGCTGTACCGTCTCCCCAGGTTTATGTAACATGTTAATCCAGTTTGAAGGCATAAGTAATTTATTCCAAAGTAGCACAGTTTAGGCAATGATGTGAAGGGGGCCAAGGACATCATGGAAAAGTTTTATGAAAATATCCAAGGTGGGGAGAAAACAACGAAGTTTGTCAGAGAGTTCCAGGGTAGGCAAACCCGATGAGAAAAATAATTCCGCTGGCATTCCAGGCGGCTATACTGTGCAGAGGGTTACCTCTGAGATTGGTGTTGCGGCTGACTTTCAGCAAGTGGCGGCATACGTGGTTAGGGTCACTCACTATTTGGAAGACTAATATGAGATCGCCGCGCAGCCTTCTGTAACGGCCACTGAAAACTCCCAGTGACTTCAGCCTTTGATGGTAGGACCGATTTCGTAGACCCTTGAGGTTGCTTGTGGCCCTGCGTTGTGGTTCCTGTAGTAGTTCTAAGGCGCGCACTAACCAAAGTTGCCAAGCTTAGATGACGTATTCAACGTGATGGAGCACACCGAGGTTACGTTCCTGAGAGCTGATCTGTAATCCGTGTGCCCCAAGCTAATAGTTGTAGTCATGTCGATGGCGTAATTACACAATGCAATACTTGCCTACGTTGAATGGTAGGTCGTTCTGAACTAACCAGTTCGAATTCTTGTTAAGCTCGCACTGGAGCCTTTCGCGATCGTCCGGTCCTCTGATCGTCCGTCATATCTTGAAATCATCTACGAGCAATAGGAAAACGGAACCCATTGAGCTCGCTGGATCGTTTATGAACACCAAGAATAGACGAAGCTCAAGCACTCCCCACTAATTACATCGGACAGAGTTATCCACGCTCTCACTTCCAACCGACGTTCGTGCAGAAAATTGCCTATCCAACTCAGGATTGGGTCGCCAATGCCGTAGGTCTGAAGCTTGTGAAGAAGAATTTAATGGCTTAAGCGATCGAACGCTTTTGAGAAGTCCAGGTAGATGACATCGACTCCATCATCAACGGCTTCTGTCCAGCTAGTACGATAAAGTAATAGATTAGTAGTGCACGAAAAGCTTTGACGGATGCCATGTTGCTCTGGGGCTATTAGGTTATGGCTTTCCAGCTACTGCATCAGCGTATCTGCGATGATTGATTCCACAACTTTGGATAGTGCAGGACATGTGTTATTGGACGGAAATTGGTGGGTTCAGTGCGATTGCCTCCTTTATGTATAGGAGTGATGACGCTTCGCTTCCATACTGATGGAATATGATTATCCTATAAACACCGCTGATAGAAAACTACTAGTGGTTCTACTAGATCCCTAGCTACTGCCTGCAGAGCCTTCGGTCGAATGTTGTTGATTCCAGCAGAGCACTGTATACGCAGGAACAACAACTCTTCAGCACAGCTTCAGCAGTGCTGGTGTGGTTGTATATGCCCAAAGGTGGACTAATGGATACGAGACAAATCTTTAGGCTCGATACCAGCTGGAAAGTTTTGGGGGTAAAGAAGCCGTATGAGATCGGCTGCTTCCATTGCTGACCGCACGCACTCATCAGCCGTGACCAGTGCTGGAATTCCGCGCTTCATCTTACGAAGGCCATTAACGTGCCAAGATAGGAGTTTGCGATTTGTGCAGAGTCGCTTCATTGACTCCTGCTGATGCGTAACCATGTCCTCGCGTATCGATTTTACACAGAGGTTCCAATGTGCCGCGTATGCAGTCCAGGTTTCGGCATTCGGGCAGTCCTCGTGAGCTCGCCATGCCAAATTCCTGAGGGACATACATTTACGTTTTGTACTCGTCAGAAATGATTTATATTCGATTGTACATTGGAAGGACTTCTGTTCCGATGCTTGTGCTACCAGTGTGCTAAACGTCTTTGTGAACGTTTCTCAGGCGATGTCTGGGAGGGCATTCGGGGAAGAAACTTCAACATATATCCTTAACAAGTCTAGCTATTACCTTTTAATGCGTAACACTATATACTTCATAGTCCTCATTTTAGGTTATTCCGCATTGTTTACCTAGTCAAACAGTAGAGTAACGGTCACTGCGATCAAGTGGCATGCTTGTAACTATCTCGTTGACCATGAGTTCTTCGTTAGTGAACAAAATATCGAGTATCCATGACTTGTTAGAAGTTGGAAATCTTGTGGGAATTGTTACGTGGTTGTACGGATGGTGGTTGAAAATTAGCTTTTGCAAACAGGCTTTGAACTACACACTATCGGTTGCCAGCGTTTCTATGTCGTGCACGTTCAAGTCTCCAGCGATAAGAATGTGGCTGTAGGAGTTGTTCAATGAAATCTGCAAAATGTGACTCAGTTTGGATCCCATTTCAGACGTAGAGTTTGGTGGGCGCTAAATTACAGCTAGTAGACATTTTTCCTTGTTCCGCAACCATCGCCGGCACCAAAGCTAATAAGGGC